GGGGGCCAGGGGGGGGGGCAGGGGGGGGGTCAGGGGGGGTGGGGGCGGCAAAAAAATCAGGTTCATGGGTTTGGTAGTGGGTTTTTGAGCAATCGCCCAGGCTGACCTGCCTTGCGGCCCCTCTGGTCCCTGAACACGCTCCGCCAGGGGCCCGGCACCAGGGGGCTCCGGAGGGGGGCGGTCGGGGGGGCCCGGACGACGCAGGTCGCCAGGTTTAGGGTTTCCTTGTCATACTTGAGAATCGGAGAAGGGGGGCGGGGTACCCCAGGCGGGGTACTGCACCGGCACTGGAGGTGCAGCTCACGCTCAACACAACTCTTTAGGCTTGCACAGGAAGTCCAAGCGATGGTGTTAATCGCTGTCGGGTGATTTCTGGGTCCAGGCACCCGAGAGAAGGGTGGGTACGGCCTAAGCAGGCCTGGGTGGGAATTTAGGGTTTAGGGTTTAGGGTTTAGAGGGTAGAGGGTTTAGGGTTTACGGTTCAGGGTTCAGGGTTTAGGGTTTAGGGTTTAGGGTTTAGGGTTTAGGGTTTAGGGTGTGGAGTTTAGAGGGTTTAGGGCTTAGGGTTTTTAGGGTTTAGGGTTTAGGGCTTAGGGTTTATAGGGTTTAGGGCTTAGGGCTTAGGGTTTATAGGGTTTAGGGTTTAGGGTTCAGGGTTTAGGGTATAGGGTTTATAGAGGGTTTAGAGGTTTTAGAGGGTTGAGTTTAGAGGTTTTAGAGGGTTTTAGAGGGTTTTAGAGGGTTTTAGAGGGTTTAGGGGGCATAGAGGGTTTAGGGGGCATAGAGGGTTTAGGGGGTTTAGAGGGTTTAGGGGGCTTAGAGGGCTTAGGGGACTTCGAGGGCTCAGGGGGCTTAGGGGGCTGCTAAGGTTTATAGGGTTTATAGGGTTTATAGGGTTTATAGGGTTTATAGGGTTTATAGGGTTTATAGGGTTTATAGGGTTTATAGGGTTTATAGGGTTTATAGGGTTTATAGGGCTTATAGGGTTTAGGCTAGGAATAAAGCAGGGTGCGGTTAAAGGGGCTAATAAGGGAACCTAATCCCTTTAAGAAAGGCTCTGGGTCCCCGTCCACAGCAAGTTGGGTTCAATAAAGATGTAACGACATTACGTTGTAACCACTTACTTGGGGTGATTGTCGTCCCCCCCCCCCATTCTGATCCCCATTAAGGACTGTTAGTACAAGGGGGAACATCCCAAGCATTACGTACTTTCATCCAGTCCGCGAAGTACTGTAACCCCTTGACATGTACTTCTGAGGGCTCCCAGCAAGACCATAGGAACCCAGCAGCAAGCAAAGCAAAGAAATATAACCACCCAAGCCCAAACCCAGTTCTAGTTGCTCTCGCTTATATAACCCTACTCATAACTCTACTTATAACCCTACTCATAACCCTACTTGTAATTGCAACCCTACTCTTCACCCTACTTATAGCTCTACTGATAATGCCTACTTGTAACCCTACTTAGAACCATGCACGAACGCTCGAAAAGGTCGCAAGCCCTAAAACACCGCAGAGCGCAGCCCAATCTGCGGAAGCTCCCAAGAGCCCAGTGCCCCGCTCAAGAAATATATTCAGAAACCACACAGGGATCCTCATGATGAAATTACTCTAAACCCTCAACCCTATATTATACTAGACTTCATGCCTTGCTATCCCTAAACCTGGAATATATCTTATAGGGTCGTTTCATGGTGCCTTAACAGGGGCCCTTAAACGCGGACCCCTTATATGCCCGGTATATACCCTATAAAGCCCAGGGGCCCATACTTGAGAACCCTTTCAAGAGGGTAAGGGACCAGACTAGACCAGGGGCCATGAAACTACCCCTCAACCCTGAACCCTAAACCCTAAAACCCTAAACCCTAAACACTAAAACCCTAAACCCTAACCCTAAAACCCTAAAACCCTAAACCCTAAACCCTATGCCCTCCCTTAGAGTCAAGGAGTATCAGTATTGGGAACTCGGTGCTCGTAACCTGAGCTCACGGCATGCCATGGCCCAGATTGCAGATGTACTTGCTGACGCCTTTGGAGCGAAGGTCTGGGGTTTAAGGTTTAGGGTTAAGGGTTTAGGGTTTAGGGTCTAGGGTCTAGGGTTTAGGGTTTAGGGTGCAGGGTTTAGGGTTTAGGGCTTAGGTTTTAGGATAACCTGCCACTTCCTCAGCTCTCAAGCGCAAGCCCTAAACCCCGAAACCGGACTGCGAAATTCGGGGATTTTGGGGGATGTTCTTGTAACTGAGGGTTTAGGGTTGAGCGTTGAGGGTAGCAGCTCCAAGCCCGCAACAGTACAAACTTGGCAGGACTCCTGAAGAGAGTGCAGCGATATCATATAGATATATCTGTATAAACCCTAACCCCCCTCCCTGAGGTGGTGAGGTGGTGGCCCCCCCCCCCCCCCCCCCCCCCCCCCCCCCCCATATTGCCAGTGTAAGCTTGCTCACTGGTCAAAGCTTCAAGGTTCTGATCCCACCATGGCAACCCGGGGAACTCTCGCAAGATGGGCAAGACCACCTCCCTTGCTGGACTGGGCACGTTTAAGTCGGAGCCTGTGGTGTGCAACACCACGGGTAAAGAGCAGGCGCTGTGTCCGACTCCAAAGGGGTGGCAGCACCCAATTGGTGCCCAACGAAGCTTGTGCCCTAGCCTTCATGAGGCATCAACGCCTCCTTGAGTTGTCTTTTGTCTTTTGCCCTTTTCGCAGCTGCGCCCTAGAGCGGCCTGAAAGCCCTCCCCACTCCCCCGAATGTTATCCCCCCAAGCCCCCTAAACCCTTAGCCCTGCAACCCAAAAACCCAAAAGTTCCTTCCACCGCGCAAAAAAATTGTGTATGTATGTTTAGGCAAATATGTATGTATGTATGTATGTGTATATATATATATGTATTAACATACATGTATATATGTAAAAAAAACCTGAAGAAAAAAACTGAACCTTGAAAGCCTAACATCCTGCAGTCCTAAAATGCTGAAAAACCAGTCCAAGCACTAAACCGCTAAACCCTGAACCCTGAAATCCCAGACCTCGAAACCCGAGACTGCACCTGCGCTCAGGGTTTACGGTTTAGGCTTTAGGTTTTAGGCTTTAGGGTTTAGGGTTTAGGGTTTAGGGTTTAGGGTTTAGGGTTTAGGGTTTAGGGTTTAGGGTTTAGGGTTTAGGGGCTAGCGCTTGGAAGCGCAGGTTCACTGAGGCGCCAGCCAAACTCTTTGACCATCTTCACCGTCCGCTCTCGGATTTGCTCAGGGTCCGCATAGAGCCTTTCAGATACGATACTACCCCCCGCACCCTAAGCGACCTCAATGACCCCTACCCAAATTCAGGGGCTTGCTTTTAAGGTTAGGGGTTTTGTGAGGTGAGGAGGGCTGGGACCCTGAACCTCAAGCTTAGCCCGAAACCCTAAACCCTTAAGGTGGAAGGGAATTCGGGGGGGGGGGGGGGACCCCATAGCCTAAGCCCTGCAGCTCCACGAACTCCTCAGGCTCAGGAAGCTATTGAGATGCTTCGCGCGCCCGACGTCTGAAACTCTTAGAACTTAGTAGCCCAGTAACCACAGAATAAGAGTACCCTTTTCGGGGCTTGGTTACTGTATAAGGGAACCTTGAATCCCAAAACAGGGCAAAAAGGGTACCACTTCGCTACCAAGTGAATGCTGTTGGGGTGTCGGCTTTGGGGTTCATCAGCTGTAGGGTTTAGGAGGGGAGGCAGTGAGAGTTTCGCATTGAAGGTTCAACCGTGAGGTCGCTGAGATGGGCAAGCATAGACATTGGCCATTGACTTGGCGGGCGGGGCAGGGGGGGGGGGGGGGGTTGAACAAACACAAGCATCATGCAGCTTCTGCATGTGACATAGAGGATTACAAATAAAGCACAACGTTGACAAGTTTCTGCATTGGCGGTGTTATGTAGCCCCTGGACCGCCGAGGTAACCAGTTGAAGACTTTCTCTCGCCCGCTCGCTCGCTCGCTCTCCGTCTCTTTCCCTCAGCTGACTCCAAAATTTTAACTTCCAGGCCCCCGAAAACAAGTCCTGAACCTCCAGACCCCCTGGCTTAGGGTTTACGACTTACGATTTACGATTTAGGTTTTAGGGTTTAGGGTTTAGGGTTTAGGGTTTAAGGTTGAGGGTTTACAGGATTTTGGATTTCGGGGCTCAGGGGGGCCGGGGGCCGTAAGCCGCAACCCCATGGACTCCGAACCCCAAACCCAGCCGAGGCCGTGGCAGATGTGGATCCAAGTTCCCCTGTAGCGTCCTGGCGTCATGGGGGTTTATGGTTTAGGGTTTAGGGCTTAGGGTTTAGGGTTTAGGGTTTAGGGTGTAGGGTTTAGGTTTTAGGGTTTAGGGGTTAGACCACCAACGACCCCGTTCCAGGGGCTGGGGTTCTGGGTTTGGAACGCAGCGCAGCTACGGAAGGTGTTTGGGGTTCAGGGTCTCAGGTTCAAAGGCTCGTTTGGAAACAGCGGATCCTGCCAAGAAAGCGTTCTATGGGGTCAGGCAGGGACGAGAAATTCTCTAAACCACACACGAGGTTGAACACTGAGCGTTCCAAACCTCCAGACCTGTAGGGAGGGGGCTTCTATTGCAAGCTCTCTGAGGTACGCTTGCATGGCCATAATGGGGCCGGAAACAATACGCCAGGGTTCCTTGCACCGGCACATCTTTTCCCATGAGAGCTCCCATGCCCTGTGCATAATTGCGCCCGTCTGGCCCTCAGGCCAAAGCAACGGCGCGAGGGTTTGCCAGTGCTGCTTGATGAGGAGCCACCCGGGGTCCTGGACCCTGTTCTCACCAAGGCTAAGCGCCACCTCCAGCGACCCCATTTTTACACGATTGGCCCTGGTACCCGCCATTGCTCGTAGCGGTTTCCGCCGTTTGGGGCTGACACCTTGCCCTTGGTGTCCAAACGTGTATGCTGTGAAGACGCTTGCGCGGTATACGCGGGCCGATTTGTTTTTTGGCAACCTCAATTTACTGAGGGCTCGGTGACGGCCAGTGGCTTTTGACATGCGTTTTTTCATGGTAGGCAACCGGCGCCTGCGCACTGTCCAGCCCCAAATCCTTAGTGACCTGAAGGATGGGTGGGTCGGCCTCCGTAAGCCTGGCGCGCAACGCTTTCTCGCTTTCAGGGGAGGAGCACACAAAACAGGACTTGGTGCTGGACAGCACCAACCCTTCATCACCAAGGTGTTGCCGGAGGCTGCGGAGCGCCTTGATCGCTCTCACTGCCACGCTGGTGTGGCTCTCGCTTTGCACATCCACGCTTATGTCGTCGATGTAGATATCCATGTCTGTGATCTGTACCTCCTGCGTGAGGCGGTCACAGACTGGGAAGAGCGCAGCTTTGGACAGCGCCGGCGCCAGCGGGCAACCGGCTAACACCCCACGCTGGGCGTACACCGGGGGGGCGCTCCTCCCAACCCTTCCCCCAACCAGGATTTTTTTGGGCCACCCCCCCGCCACTTTTTACTGTGGCACCTGCCCGGAACGCTTTGGAGCCGCAATCCTCTGCCGCGCGGTTCCAGGCTGTTGGCCCCTCCCACAGAGAGCATTCCATGAAATCCCGAAATTCTGAAACGCCCTCCTGGGAATCTGCCGGCGCCCCCCTGATACCTCCTGAACTCATTCGCCGCCAAGAAGAACGTTCTTTGTGCTGTTTTGGGGGACCCTCTGCCCTGGCACCCTCCGCCCTGGCACCCGCACTCGGGTCGGCCCGGCTGCCGAGGCGGCTCGCGCAAGCGTTTACAATTTACAATTAGACTTTGTAGCTCCGTAGCAAAGACTCAGGCTTTAAGGCAACCAGCAAAAGATGCATACACTGTTGGAGGGTCTTTGTGGTATCCAGAAGCCAAAATATGCGCAAATTCCACCACCCAAGAGCGCAACAAAAACCCAAACCCTGAAGCCCAAGCCCCAATTACATCACCATCAGAGCTCCTGAAAACAGAAGGCAGAGACGGAGAAACAGAGAGACAGACAGACAGAGTGAGTCAGACAGAGAGACAGAGTCAGAGAGTCAGACAGAGAGACAGAGTCAGACAGAGAGACAGAGTCAGACAGAGAGAAAGAGTGGGACAGAGAGAGAGGTTTAGGGTTTAGGGGGAGAGAGTGAGGGAGACAGATAAAGCGAGAGAGAGAGAGAGACAGAGAGAGATTGAAAGAGAGAGAGAGATAACAAAACAGAGTAAGAACCCGGCCAAAACCTAAACCCACACCCAAGACCTCAAACGTAAGCGGAAATCAGACACCTAGACACGAAACCTAAAAGCCTTAAACCATGAACCCCAAGCCCTAAATCCTCAGCCCTAATTGTTTTAAGTTCTTTTGGAGGGGAGGGGGGGGGGGGGGCTTTGAAGGTTTCGTGGTTTAGAAATATCCCTTGGGGACTTTCGGCCAACCCTAACTAAACCCCAAAGTGCAAAAAGCGGGCCGAGAGCACTTGCTGGGGCAACTGCGTCGGGCCTGAACGGTGGGCTTTGGGGTTCAGGGGGGGTACCTCAAGAACCCAAAACCTACCTTTGTTTTGTAGGTTAAGCACCTAAGAATCCTGTAAGGGGGTTTAGAATAAGAGCCTAGAAGATTAGAGAGCTATGTAGGGCTTAAGTTTGGGGGTGTAGGAGTTGGGTATGCAGGTCCTACTAGGGTTTAGAGCTCAGGCGTCAGGGTCTCGGTTGGGGTTTCGGGTTCTAAAGTCTCAGCTCAGAGCCCGAAGAGGTGCTGGACCCCCGCAGACTTTGATACTTTGAGACGGGGGTAGAAAGGGCCATGAAAGAACCGACAACCTTACATCAAAGCCCTAAACCCTAAACCCTAAACCCTAAACCCTAAACCCTAAACCCTAAGCCCTATAAGCCCTAAGCCCTATAAGCCCTGAACCCAAGAGTTCCAGGATGAACTGCTATCCCTCGCAGGCTGCGTGAGATGGCCGGGTTGAGGGTTTTGGGTGTGTGGGAGAGGGTTTAGGGTTTAGGGTTTAGGGTTTAGGGTTTAGGGTTTAGGGTTTAGGGTTTAGGGTTTAGGGTTTAGGGTTTAGGGTTTAGGGTTTAGGGTTTAGGGTTTAGGGGATGTCGGGTGCCGCGACCGCTGCTTTTTGCTCACTCTTTGATCGCTACGTTGTATTGGTTTCGTGCTTTCATTACGAACCCAGTACGACATACGAGCAGAAGTGCTCCCTGCTACTCCCTAAGGCTCGCTAAGCTTTACTAAGCTCCCCAGGTACCAAACCCGAAACCCTCAAGTGCAAGGAGCAACTTTAAGGATGATGGCCTTGCTGGGGAAGGGGGAGCTTCTTGCAGACTGCCCATAAGAATCCCGAAAAGGGACAAAAACTGGCAAACATGACAAACGCAGCTAGGCCTTGAGTTGTTCTGGTCGGGGTTCTCAAGGGTTCGGGGCGTAGGGCTTCGGGCTTACGGCTTGGGAGACGGAGGTGGACTGGGAGTCTGAGCCCCCAAAAAACCCTAAACCCTAAACCCTGAACCCTGAACCCTGAACCCTTAAGCAAGAACGGCCTCCGCAGGCGAGCTTGTCCAGCTAACCTTGAGCGAAGCTGGGGGTGGAGGTTGCTCATTTATAGGGTTTAGGATTTAAACTAAGCTTTGGGCCCTAGGCGGCGTTTGCCAATCTATACCCCTTCGAAAAGGGAGGTGCGCTTCAGTCGCTGGTACATAACGCCCTAAACCCTAAACCCTAAACCCTAAACGGCTCAAGAGATTCTTTGCGTCCGAGACCCTCAAGCAAACTCAACCCATGTGAGCTGCAATCGAAGCGTGGGAAGGGGACTCTGCCAGCTGGCCCCTGAAACCCTCTAATACTCAAAGCCTGTGTGAAGAATCTCCTTGATCCCAATAGAAAGCTGAAACATCCATCCCAAGGGCTTATGGTTTAGGGCTTTGGGTTTAGGGTTTAGGGTTTAGGGTTTAGGGTTTAGGGTTTAGGGTTTAGGGTTTAGGGTTTAGGGTTTAGGGTTTAGGGTTTAGGGTTTAGGGTTTGGTGAACCGGATACGATGAAGCCGAGAGACACCCACAACGTCGAAGTCGCTGTCTTCAAAGGCGCCAATCCTGGGACAAGACTTTGGGTTTGCAGCAATATAAGGTCTAGGGTTCAGGGTTTAGGGTTTAGGGTTTAGGGTTGGCAGGAAAATGTCGGGCGGTATTTGATCTATGGTTTGGGGCTTAGGGTTTAGGGCGTCACTCCCAACGTCTAAAAGTGGGGGCGGGCGACGGGGGAGATCTTTTGTCGAGGGTGTGCGAGAACCAAATAGGCCTCAGTACAAAAGGGCCCCTAGGCGTTTGCTGTGGTGGAAGGGGGCAACCCTCCACCCTACACCCTACACCCTACACCCGACACCCTACACCCTACTCCCTACTCCCTAAACCCTAAACCCTAAATCCTAAACCCTAAACCCCACTTGGAGATTCATGGTACTTATTAAAAGCTTGTAACTGTACTTATAGCCATATTAGGGCACTTAAGGGTCTTGTGAGTGGGTTATAAGTACAGTTCTACTTGGTTAATAAGTACACCCTAAACCCCTATACTCTTTAACCCTGAAACCTTCAAACCCCGAAACCACTAAGAAAGCAGGGGGAGCCTGGGCCGCTTTGGTTTCGGGTGTCGGTTTTAGGGCGCGAGGGGCTTGTCCCGTGTACTGGAGCACATTGGAGGTGGGGGGGGTCATATAGGGTTTAGGGTACAGTTTAGGGTTTAAGGTTTAGGGTTTTGATTTAGGGTTTAGAGGTTTAGAGGTTTAGAGGTTTAGGGTTTAGGGTTTAGGGTTTAGGGTTTAGGGTTTAGGGTTTAGGGTTTAGGGTTTAGGGTTTAGGGTTTAGGGTTTAGGGTTTAGGGTTTAGGGTTTAGGGTTTAGGGTTTAGGGCTTACGGTTTGTGGCGAGATGGCGCCGAAGCCCGGAAGCGATAAGACCTGGTGCCTTTGTGCAAGAGGTGGGGGAGAAAGGTGGCCTCGTTGAAACCCTGTTCAAGCATCTGGCCAAGCTCGGGGCTGTGCCAATCCTTGGGCACATCCTTGATGCACCACTTGGCTGCACTTAGCAGGGTAGCTATAAATTTAATTTCTAGCTGCCTTGTTAAGAAACCCAATAAACCCAAAAAGGCTAAGGATCTAAAGTTGCAGTAAAGCACCACAGAGACCATATGCGGGGCATGGTCTCACCCGGGAGTGTGGTATGCCGCCAAGCAATCCTGCTGCCGAAGCTGCGAATGTTCGGTCCCAGACAAGCCTCGAAGGCTTCGTAACATGCAAAGAGCCCCTTGACTTGAACCCTAAACCACTCGCCCACAAACCCCTTGTACCCTGAACCCCGCAACCCTGAAACCACTAAGCCCTTCAACCCCTGAACCCTTGAACCCTTGAACCCTTAAGCCCTTAACCCCCTCAACACCGTAAACCCCTAAACCCTAAACTGGCGAGAGCACCGCTGGCCATATACATGGGTGCTCGTCCAAGCCCCCCACTAAAAATCATCAAGGTTTTTGAGGGTTTCCCGGGCTGCCCTGGCCCCCCTGCCCCGAAACCCCTGAAACTTCCTGGAAGACCTCGGAGAATAAGCTCCTTTCTTGCAGAGTTTAGATTCGGACACCTCCCAGAAAACCCAAGACAGCTCTCCTCCTAGAGTTTTTGTCGGGTAGACCCCTATAGTTCGGGTGTAGGGTGGGGCTACTACGCTATGCGAGCGCGCGATAGGGAGTGCCCTAAGAGTCTGAAGAAAGGCACGCTCACTGATACAAACCCTAAACCCTAAACCCTAAACCCTAAACCCCAAACCCCAAACCCCAAACCCCAAACCCCAAACCCCAAGGCCCCGGCTCGCCATCCTTGGGGAAGACGGATACTAGAGCTCCTGGCCTCCTTTTCTTCACCTGGCGTTGATGAAGTTAGGGTTTAGGGTTTAGGGTTTAGGGCTTAGGGCTTAGGGCTTAGGGCTTAGGGCTTAGGGCTTAGGGCTTAGGGCTTAGGGCTTAGGGCTTAGGGCTTAGGGCTTAGGGCTTAGGGTTTAGGGTTTAGGGTTTAGGGTTTAGGGCTTAGGGAACAAGACCCAGGTGGAGCGCTGGCCTCCGTAGCAATGTACTTGAGATCGGGCACGCAAAACTCTTCGTAGATCCTGCCGGCTCGCTGCGGCTGAAGGCTTGCAGTTTAGGGTTAAGGCTTAGGGCTTAGGGCTTAGGGCTTAGGGTTTAGGGTTTAGGGTTTAGGGTTTAGAGTTTAGGCGTTCAGGCTTAGGGCTTAGGGTGTAGGATAACTTGTTCCCTTAAACCTGAAGGCCCCAAAGCTTTGGTTTAGGGTCCAGGGTGTAGGATGACTGGTTACCTTAAACTTGAACCCCCAAACCCGACAACGGACTAAATAACCGAGCTGTGCA